GCTAAACAAATAATTCCCTCAACAGTGTCCAACTATTTACTAAGTCTACACTACTATTACTATTAATCTTCTCATCGTTCCTATCACCCATCCCCAGTAACTTTGTCACTTGTATCCTTACGATTTATATTGACTGTTTCCTAGTATGATTTGCTTATTGTACCCTATGACTAATATTAAGTGTTGTGCTTAATGATTCTTGACGGATGTATCTTTTATTTTATGTATACTGAGAGCATTTGCACCAAGACAAATTCCTTGTGTGTAAAAACCACACTTGGCCAATAAAGAATTCTATTTCTATTTCTATTCTATTTCTTGTGGCAAGCTGTTCCACTGCTTCTTTGTCCTCCCTGTTAAGAAGTTTCTCCTTATTTCCAGGTTGCTTCTCTCCTCGATTAGCTTCCATCCGTTGCTTCTTGTTGCACCCTCTAATGCTCTGGAAAAGAGGTGGACCCCTTCTTTTGGGGGGCAGCCCCTCAAATACTGGAATGCTGCTATCCCCCTAGTCCTTTCTTTGCTCTAGACTGGCCAGATCCAAATCCTGCCATCATCCTTCCTATGTTTTAGCCTCCAGGCCTTACGTTCTCTCCTATTACAGTCCCCGTACCTGTGCGACCAGTAGGCCTGCTTGTGGTACTCGTATTCGGGGATGGCCATCTCGTCCTCTTCCCAGGTAGACTGGTCGTAGGAGAGGTCCCGCCACTTCACCAGGTAGTGATAGATGCCCTTTTTGTCAATGCTGCATGAGGTCAATACAGGAACGGGGGGGGGGGGTGTCAGGGAGAGAGAAGAGCAGAAAATGAGCAAACCTATCAGGGTTGATTGATCGCGCTCCCTATTAGCAATTGTTGTAAGATTACAAAGCAGTTGATGGAATCGAGGAATTAACACGCACACCTAGTTCAACGCTTCTCGTTGAGAGTCTGAATGCAACAAACAAACAAACAAAAAAATACCACTGTATAAGAATTTAAGAATTCAGACAGCAGGGAAAGGCACAAGGATAGAAATCAGCAGACGGTGAGTTCTAGTCCTGCCTTAGGCATGAAAGCTGGCTGGGTAACTTTGAGCCAATCACCTGGAGATGGTAATTTCTAGTCCCACTTTAAGCATGAAAGACAGCTAGGTGACTCTGAGCCAATCACCGGGAGACTGGGAGTTCTAGTCCTGCCTTAGGCATGAAAGCCGATGGGGTGATGTTGAGCCAGGCATTCTCTCTCAGCCCAACCCACCTAACGGAGTTTTTGTTGTGGGGGAAAATAGAAGGAGAAAGGAGCACGATGTATATATTTTCCACCTTGAATTAACTACCAAGTAATAAAGGTGGGATTAAAAAAAAAACAATATATATATATATATATATGACAAGGCTTCTGGCCCAATGGAAAGTGACCTGTGGTTTATCACCCGATGGATGGTCATCCAGTCCGGCTTGATGCCGTAACGGTAGTAGTTCTCTTCCATCTCCGCATAGAGAGGGTCCTTGTTCTTCCTCTTCTCACTTTTCCCGTCATCGTCGCCGGAGCCATAGTCAAACGGGGGAGGCTCGTCCATGTCATTCTTCCGCTGGTAATTTCTGTACATCACTAAGTGGAAAATCTCCAGCTGGGATTGGGAGGGAGAGCAGAAGGGAGCGTCAGTCTGAGGAAGGATGGCCGTGAATCAAAAACAGGTTTCAATCCTGGGGCACCCGAGCAAGGATGCTCCCATGCTGTAGATGCAAAGACTGAGGTTTCGACTATCACCGCCAATCAATCGCTGATAGGCTGTTTTCTCCACCTTTGAAAAGCCCATTTTTTTCTCCTGTTTTAAAAACCTGATTTTTGACATTGCTATCATTTTTTTCAATTAAAAAAAAATGTACATGGCCACCCAATTCACTCACGGTGACTCCAACCAGCTTACAGTCATAAAAGCCCAAATACAAAAAAGATGGATATATACAGATTGATACATTGAGATAGATAGATAGATAGTTAGATAGATGGAGATAGATAGATATACAGATAGATAAAAGGTAGATAGATATAGATGATAGTCAGACACAGATAAATAGATAGATAGATAGATAGATAGATAGATAGATAGATAGATAGATAGATAGATAGATAGACAGACAGACACAGTAGATGGATAGATTGGATAGGTTAGGTAGGTAGGTAGACAGATACATAGATACATATAGGTAATTGGATGGATAGATACCGGTAGGTAGGTAGATACAGCAGATAGATAGATACAGTAGATGGATAGATAGATTGGACAGATAGATAGATAGATAGATAGATAGATAGATAGATAGATAGATAGATAGATAGATAGATAGATGATAGATAGATACATAGATAGATAGATAGATAGATAGATAGATGATATATATATATATATAGATAGATGATAGATAGATAGATGATAGATAGAGAGATAGATAGATAGATAGATAGATAGATAGATGATAGATAGATAGAT